GGGATTTTCGCAGTGTTTTCAGACGTACACACTGATCCAGGCTCTAGAAGTGTGAGTTAGTGATCTAGTCTCCAACAGCACACCATGCGCACTTTCTTAGAAGTCCCATTTGCTCATAATAAGGCAATGCGGTTTGACACTTATGCCTCCGGTTGTCAGGTTTATCATCCTCAGCCTGTCAGTGCTGCATAATGCCCATCATTCTGTGGCCTGCCTCTGCTGGGGACTGTGAGGGACAGCTTGCATCGCTTCAAACCTCATCCAGCACTGAACTGTGCCCCCTAATAAAGCCTAAATTGCCCACCGTGGAGCAGGAGAGTGGCTCCAGACACTCATTAGCTTAATGAAAACAGGCCACTCCACTGCAGCCGCCCAGTGAGCATCTTCACACTGTAGCTGAGGCAACCATCTGCTCCGAGGCACCCAGCCAGCTGCAGAGTATTCCTGTCATACACACCCCGTCAGAGGGGATGCAAAAGGCACACCTCCAGCTCAACCGCTCCGAGAGAGTTGGTCATGACGCTTTGGCGCAGTGCTGCAGTGTTGCTAAATATACTGCCCTACCCACACCTCACCCTTTCACCTGAAACTGTTTGCATTTGCTTTGTGGCTCCGGCCAAATTCGGTGACGGTTCTTCTGCGTTTCATCAGCTAGAGTTCCCTACAGCTGCATCTACAGCCTGACTGGGAAGAGCATGTGTTGAGGAGTTTCCAGCCATGTGCTAGGCAGGGTATGTCAACATGTGTTTCAGCCAACTGTTTCATTCTGGCCACCACATATCAGCTAACCTTTGCAAACATTTGAAGGGCAAATCCACTTCCCTTAGTAATGTCTGGCTCACTGGGCTGGACATATACAAATACTGTAGTAGCCTTATCGCTAAAATTATGCAACATCAGACTGTACAAATGTGTGCTTTATTTATGTTACAGTTGGAATGTCACGGATGGTGGACTAGTCAAACACAACCAATATTTATGTATTTATTTATTTATTTGGGCCTCCTAGTCTTAAGACTGTTTTTTAAGAGTAAAGTTTAAGAGTTACGTTTTTTTCCCCTGCTTGCACAGTAAAATTCGTATTACAGTTAAAAAATGTGTTTTATAGTTCACACAGTAAAACTCTCACAGAGAAGATGTCGTTTAAATTCATCCCCACTTTTTTATGTCTTTTGCCATTACCACTGTGTTGGCAGTGATAAGATGTGTCAAGTTAAAACATGTGAAAAATTGTGAGTGTGTGTGTGTGTGTATTGGTCAGAAAGAACAATCTGTTTAGATGTGTTCTCAACATCCAAAAGGTCACTTTCTTATTCTGTTTTATTGTCCTGTGTAAAGATATACAAAATGTTTTTAAAAGGTTTCTCAAAAACATATTACATCTAAAGTGAATTTAGAGAGGCTGCTGGCTAAGGGGATTGTGGTAATGCATCAGATAAAGTGATGAACACTGAACATGAGCAGACAGTGATGAAGTGTTATAAAGGGAATCTGATGCACCGTTTTATACAAGGGCACTTTTTCTTACAATGGCAGCATTTATTGACTATTTAAGATTTGTTGTTATCATGGGCATTAAACAAACCTCTGCAGCCCAAATCTGATTGCAAAGTGTAAGACTTTGAAGATACAGTTGTATGATGCACTGATGTGAGTAAACCAATGGAGAGAGGGGGTGAAAAAATGGTGAAGGCCAAGTGTTCTCAATGACCGCTGATCTGCTGTGTGACTGAAATGTTAGTTGCTGCCCCAAGGCAGTTGCTGGATAGCTCATCATCTGAGTAGTATTTCTTGAATCCCCATTGGAAATGAACTCATTATGTTATGCCTCATTCAAGCATGGACTTCTGGATCATTTTGAAGATCCCTTTTGGCATTTGGTACATGTTATAATATCTCTGAAAGCAGCGGAGCCCTACCACTGACCCCAAACATTGATTAGACACATGAGTGGCTGCAGTGCCCTGCAGAAACAGGTGTAGACTTTCACATCTGTTTTGATCGCTTCTGAAAAACTTGAACCAAAAAATGTTTGAGGACTGCCACAGATTTAATTTTGAACCAACAAAAGAATTTTTCATTCTCTCACTGTAACTGTTTTTGTGCTTGATGAGAAAAACCAACCTACTTTTGACTGTTTTGTTTAGATGCATTATCAACATCCAAAAGGTCACTTTCTTCTGTTTTATTGTCCTGTGTAAAAAACATACAAAATGTTTTTTTAAAAGGTTTCTAAAAAACATATTACATCTAAAGAGAATTTAGAGAGGCTGCTGGCTAAACGCATTGTGGCGATACATCAGAGAAAGTGATGAACACTGAATATGAGCAGACAGTGATGAAGTGACACTGTTATAAAGGGAATCTGATGCACCACTTTATACAAGGGCACTTTTTCTTACAATGCCAGCATTTATTGACTGTTTAAGATTTGTTGTTATCATGGGCATTAAACAAACCTCTGCAGCCCAAATCTGATTGCAAAGTGTAAGACTTTGAAGATACAGTTGTATGATGCACTGATGTGAGTAAACCAACGGAGAGAGAGGGTGAAAAAATGGTGAAGGCCAAGTGTTCTCAGTGACCGCTGATCTGCTGTGTGACTGAAATGTTAGTTGCTGCCCCAAGGCAGTTGCTGGATAGCTCATCATCTGGGTAGTATTACTTGAATCCCCATTGGAAATGAACTCATTATGTTATGCCTCATTCAAGCATGGACTTCTGGATCATTTTGAAGATCCCTTTTGGCATTTGGTACATGTTATAATATCTCTGAAAGCAGCGGAGCCCTACCACTGACCCCAAACATTGATTAGACACATGAGTGGCTGCAGTGCCCTGCAGAAACAGGTGTAGACTTTCACATCTGTTTTGATCGCTTCTGAAAAACTTGAACCAAAAAATGTTTGAGGACTGCCACAGATTTAATTTTGAACCAACAAAAGAATTTTTCATTCTCTCACTGTAACTGTTTTTGTGCTTGATGAGAAAAACCAACCTACTTTTGACTGTTTTTTTTTTTTACTGTGAAGTAACTGAGGCAACTGTCTAGGAAGCAGGCAGTGTGAGAGACCAACCGTATTGCTTTTTCTCTCCTCTATTACAGTTTAATTTTGTTGGGAAACTGCTGGGGCCCAGGGGCAATTCCATGAAAAGATTACAAGAGGAAACGGGAGCAAAGATGTCCATCCTCGGCAAGGGTTCAATGAGGGATAAAGGCAAGGTAAGATGACTAGCAACAACTTGTTTTTTTATTCTCCTATGTACTGTATAAATGCAATATATTCCATAAATGCTTCGAGTATTATTATTAAGATTGACATTGATTTGTTTGTAACCATAAATGCCGTAATATTAAATAAAATATCTCAACTGACTCCTCATGACAAAAGCAAACTACCTGCATTTGTTTAGACCTGTATTAAACCATTTGTTGATTTTTGTCAATGAGAAAGTGTAATAGTATTGTAATTCTATGGAAGTCTTTTTCTGCCACGGAAAAAAAAAAAACTTTTGGTATGACATAAAAAGTTAAAATTATGAAATACAAAGTTATATATAAGGTAATATATAATCTAAAATGTCAAAATTATGCTTAGTCATAATTATGAGATTAGAAAGTCTTATGACATAAAATGTTGACTTATAATTTTGACTTTTTATTTCACAATTGAAATTTTTTATCTCATGATTTAAACTATTTGTCTCACAATTATGACTTGACATTCATAATTTGAAAAAGTTTTATGTTATAATTATGTTGAAATCAGAGTGTGTGATTGGGAGTGGAGCGGTGTGATTTTTGACTGGAGCAAGGAGTGGATTTTTTGAAAGTCGGAGCATCACTCGCTCCAAGCACAATTAATGCCAACAGTTCATACTATAACTGCATTTTATCAAGAATTCACGCATTGAACATCATTAACTGGCTTGACAGATATGTGGATCACTCAAATCAGAAAGAAGGTGAAGGTTAATGACAGCGATGGACGAGTGTGGGAGGTTATATCTCAGGCATGTTTGTTTGTAGCATGTGGATACTCAGTAATGATTGGGTGAATTCACGTTTTAAACAGTTTATTGTACAGGTAGTTAATCTCCGCTCTAAACTAAAGTGCGCTACATTGCTGCACGCGCACACACAACACACAAGTTCGCACATAACGTACAGATCGCGCACACAGAAACATTCAGGAGTGCAGAAAATTATTGTCAACGCTGTCCTGTGGTTTATCAGCTTAAAAAAGGAAAAGTTACAGCATATTCTTTCTGTTTCTGAAGTAACTACAACCCTCAGCTTTGCCATAGTAGAGAGACGCTGCACACACAAGTGAGTTAAACAGTCATTTAATATAAACTTGGGCTAATTGTAGTGTTCCAATAAACCACGTTAAAACTATTCTTCTAGTACTGTGGATTTAATTTTCATTTAATATATGTTCTGAACAGAACTTTGTGGTATTTCAAAACATGCTGAAATACTTTAGTGACAAATTTCGCCATGGAGCAAAGGCGGAGCTACATTTCTGATCAGTGGAGCGAGGAGCGGGAAACGCTGAACCCAGAGCGGAGCGGAGTGAATATTAAATGCTTGGAGTGTGGAGGAGAAATTGTTGCCGCTCCACTCCGCTCACATACTCTGGTTGAAATATTGGATACTACGTCATAATTATGAGATTTAAAAAAAAGTATTGACATATTAGTCATGCAGTAACTTTCAACGTTTTAACTAATAATTATGACTTATCTCATAATTTGTACTTTTTATATCATAATTATGATTTACCAAAGCATGATTTTTTTTCTTATGTGGAGGAAATGGGCTTCCATAAGCTTGTGCATGTTATGCACACTACATTTATTCCAGAGCAGAGTGCTTTATCCCTTAAATCCTGTAAACCTTTCATTTATTTGAGTTTAACCAGCATCAGCAGTGGCTGACAGAGCAAAGTGTGAGATGACGCTGAGACAGAAGATCATTACCTGCTCTATATGCCCCTAGATAGAGGAGGAACTGCTGTTTTTAGCATTTACTGATGTTGTATACATTCTTGAAAAGAGAAATATATATTGCAACCTAACAGACCTATGTTTTTTTTTTTTGTCAGTGTTTGTAGAATCAACAATATCTCTAGGTTGCAAAGGAGTTATTGAGACTATTCACAGTATGGATCTTTCTCAGTGGATATGATTTAAACATGTGCTTTGGATTGAGTGTTGGTGAGTGTAATGTTTAGAAATGGCATTTTGTGATTCAGCCAAACAGCTGCCCTAAGAGACATACTGGTCATTTACCTAGCCAGAGAATCGTTCCAAATGTAATATTTCTCGGTTTGCTGCTCCTGTCATCTCATAATAGGCCATCTTGAATTCCCCAGCTCAATAAAATGTTAATTTTAATGTAATATTATTGAATGCAACTCCATTGAATGAAAAACATTTATATCAAGCATTAGTTTTCTTTCACTTAGTGTATGAAATAGAATGAAGCAATAAGCAAAGCGATGCTGTATTCTAAAGAGATTTTACCAATGTTAAGGGGTGTTGTTAGGCACAAGTGAAGCATAGAACCTTGGCATATTAATATAGCATTGAGATGATGTGTGCATATTTACATCAATGTTGAATGTTGTTCAACCAATAATATTTTAGAGCTGGAACAATCCTTTTTTCAACAGCACCATGATGAAAACTTGAAGATTTTGAAGATCAACAGAAACTTTGTTTGTGCAATCAGCAATGCATTTACAGTTACCTGAGAGTGTAGTATGAATTATTTACACAAGAGCTGTTTGTCCTCATTTGGTCTCTGAAAAGTGTTCTGAACTTGTTAGAGGAATGAAATGTAGTGCACAGTGCAAAACCCAGTGTCTTGTTCACATTCCACCTGCAGTCTATTTTAGCCATGTGCTAAAGGCATGTGCGCTGGTTTAGCGCTGTGCCGTGAATATTTAACGCAAACACCTCCTTTCTAAATAAACGAAGCTCTATAAAATGCAGCGGATTTGTCTGTGGATCAATCTATTACTGAAATCAGATTGGTTGGTTTATGACTTAAAAAAAAAGCAGTGAGAGATTTTTTTTTCATATGCAGTATATCAGAAACCATACGAACAATTTATGACCCCATTGTATCCAATAGAAATTATTTTTACTAGATTTATTTTACATACAGTGGGTACGGAAAGTATTCAGACCCAACAATTCTGTGTTTTTCTGTCAATATGGGGTGCTGTGTGTACATTAATGAGGAAAAAAAATTAACTTAAATGATTTTAGCAAATGGCTGCAATATAACAAAGAGTGAAAAATTTAAGGGGGTCTGAATACTTTCCGTACCCACTGTATGTAGAATACATATTGCATTTCGCTACATACTGTACATACGTGTGTTTATATGTGGTCTTGCATCAATTTTATACTAGCATTGTGCAAACTGCATTGTGCAGATCACATCGTGCACACAGCCCCAATTTTACCATTACCTGATTTACATAATTTCTTAAGTGAATTGTGTGCTCAAGCAATGCAGATGGCATGCAAATAAAAGATGCTTTTAGGGCTCTATTCTTTTCTTAATGAATTCCCCCTCAGACTTTAATTTAAACAAATTACGCATATTATTTTGACTAAAATCTGTCTTCATTGCAATCATTTCACAGAACCAAACAAGACCAATGTTTTGTTATTGTTTTATAGTCTTACATTGTTACATGCTAAAAAGGTGTCCAAAAGAAGCAAATGAGACAGGAATATGCAATGTTTTATTCCAAATAGCCATGTGGGGCGTTTCTACAAGCAAAATGTTCTTTAAGTTTTATAAACACACTTTTCACTATAGAATTTCACACTGTTTTAACCATGCAGAAGAATCGTAGTCTGAAATCTATTTACATTTATGGCAGAACTCAAACAAGAGCCTGTTGGATTGTTTTAAATCCCAAAGGCAATCATTAATGCAAACATATTCCATTATAAAGAGTCACCTTGAGCTGGTACAGGTTTGTTATACATATGAAATTAAGAGTCAGCCGTGCATCTTTATAGACTTGTCTGTGCAGTATCTGAAAGTCCTACTGAGGTCTTCATATAACACTGTCTACATCCAAGGATATGCAAAGCAAAGAATATTGCATTTAGAATGATTCCCTAGGCAAGTAAATGAACAGCTTATGTCTGAGGGCAGCAAATTGACTGAATCAAAAAATGGTATTTCAGGATATTACATTCACCACAATGGCAACTGGTGTAGCGCAAATCTCAATCTAGGGGTAGACTCAAATGTTATAGCAGAAATATTTAACTCATATCCTTAATTTTTAAGGAAGTAAAATAAAATCCAGTGTTTATTATGACCCTGTTTCCATGAGTTTCAGGAGTAGATTTTATTTAGCTCTATAAGCTTTTGTTTGAATGTTTCAAAACTGAGCTCTTTAACTCCATAGGGGCACTGGATAACTGTCAGGCTTAAAAGTGTCAGATTCACTATTTGTACTTTACTGGGAATAAATATGAGGAACCCTACATTTTGTCACATTTGAAGAGGATTCTGCTGTGCTTAGACGTGCTTACTTGAGTGCCTTTTGAAATGCATCCTGGGAGACAGACCTACCTTTTGAAACAACAGAACATTTTCTTCATGGATTGACATGAAAGGAAAGTTAAAGCTTTCAGGCTTGAAACAGAACAAATGTAAAAATGAGGTGGCAGACTTTTCACTGTCTCCTGCTTCCCCTTTTGTCTGTCCATTTTTAAGTTAATCTGGAAACACCCACAGCGTCCACACCTACACGCATATATTTGTGTCTACTCTCAAAATCACCGTCTGAACCATCTCACCTCACAATTCATCGGCACCTGTATACGGAGCCCCACAAAATATGATTACGCCTCTCAGAAAAGCTTAAGTGTCTCCTGACCTGTCGTCCATGCAAAGCATGATGGAAAAAGTGCTTGGGTCACTGTGAAATGATAGAGAGATGGCATCGGTAAGTGTTTATTAAAGCTGAAGGGGCTACAAGGGCCCGCATCAGTGATCAGACATCTGTGAATGGCCCCTACATCAAAGTCCTCCTGTCTTTAAGAAGAAGCCACCGTCAAATAGTAATCAGCATTAGACAGAAATGTTGGCTACCTTAATTACAAGCTTTTTGAAGTTTTACGTTTTTTTGAAGAACCACAACACCTTTAGCAATCAGAGAGAATTGAAACACTGAATACTTCTGTGAAATATCACCCTTTTCTGCTCTTCTGATGGCAGGATTTAATCAGAAAGGTGACGGTGTCAATTTATTTCTGACAAAAGCCCTTGGGCAGATTTAAGCATGATGATTTGCAGTATCTGCGTACCCATTATCTGTGTTACAGAGTAAGGGTGTTGATAGGTTCCATTGTTCACAATGTTCCCATACCGTTATGAGAATTATTATAAAAGGTGAGTTAAAAAAGTCATATTTATGACCTTTTTGTCAAAATACATCCAAAGAACATCATCACTTCAAAAAGACTTTCTTTCTTAAAGGGATAGTTCACCTAAAAATTATTATTCTGTCACCTGTATGACTTTCCTTTCTATGTGCATGGGATAAAAAGATCATTTGAAAAATGTCCCACATGAGGGTGAGTAAATGATCTATCCCTTTAATGCCTTTCCAGTTCACTCTCAGTTCAAAATATGCATCATGGTTTGGTTTGAGGGGAAAAAAGTACTGTTTATTTAATTCATTAATGATATGATTAATTCTTCACACAGAAGTCCTGACTATTTTCCATCTCTAGGAGGAAGAGCTGAGGAAAAGTGGAGAGGCGAAATACGCCCATTTGAGCAACGATCTTCATGTTTTGATTGAAGTTTTCGCACCACCTGGAGAAGCCTATTCCCGCATGAGCCATGCCCTGGAGGAGATTAAGAAATTCCTTGTTCCAGTAAGTTCATATAGTCGGATTCCTTAAGAGGGATGGTGAGCTGGAAGCCAAGATGAGATGAGTGCACCAACCAATACTGAACTCTAGTGCTCTCCTGCATGCATAAACTTGTTCATGTTTATTGCATAGAAAAAAGAGATTACAGAGTTATGCATATGATTAAATATATACATTGGAGATCAGCCTTAAAAAAATGGATGTTTAATATGTTGGAATTGGCTAGAAACTGAGAGAATGCTTCTGGTTTCTCATAATGTATTTTTCAAATCCAAATTAATTTCACCCTAGGTTATGAATTTTCTTTAAAAAACAAATGACAAGTTCTTCAGCTTTTGACTATGTACAGTTCAAAAGTCAGTAAGATTTAAAATAATAATAATACTTTATGAAGAGATTTCAAATTAATGCTGTTCACTGTGTAATGGTATCCACATAAATAAATAAACTAATAAATATGTAAGCGGCACAACTATTTAACATTGACAATAATTAGATTTAATAATAAATAAATTAGATTTATTTATTTACTGAGCACCAAATCAGTATATCAGAATGATTTCTGAAGGCTCATGTGACACTGAAGCCTGTAGTAATGTTTGCTGAAAATTCACAGCAATAAATGACATTTAACATATTAAAATAGAAAACAGATTTTAAATTGAAATAACATTTCACCGTATTACTGTTTTTTTTTTTATTATTATAAAGAATTGAACTGTTCCGTGGGAGATTTACTTGAATGATTTTTAATAGAATTTCTTGGTAAGTAACACAGCACTGTTAAAATGTTTTCTCAGGTAACCTAAAATGTGCATCATTTAGTTACATCAAGGGTCAAATCAAATGTAAATAGCACATTAAAGTTAAAAGTTAGACACTTTTTTGTGTGTGCACTGTACAGGTCTGGTATAAAGAATGTTTTTGCTCAGGTGGCCGAAATGTCCACCCAATAGAGAAAAGTTTTGCTCAGCAAGAAAAAAAATTAGAGGGAACATTGGTCCAGACTATAAATATTAATGTAGCAGTATTAGTTGTTGGCCTCAGGGAGGAAGCCTTCTAGGAGAGATTCCCTGCATTCAGCTCTCCCGCCCTGGGCTTTAGGCAGGCTCTTAGCCTCTTGGACCATATCTTTGCATCATCCACATCACTGATCTGGTCACATCCTCCATATGTTTTGCTGTCAGTGTTGTTCCATGTTTTATCCTTATGCCCACGGCAGAATACCAAGCAGAAGAATTTTCAATCTCAATAACTCTGTTTCTAATCTATATCTGTAGTAGGTATTTTAAGATGTCATAGACACGCTCCTGACATATTATGATGCCTCCTTTTTTAGCCAAATTCTAAGACAGCAATGTGTGGGTATCCATTTCTGCTAGGATGCTGCCATAAAAGCAGCTTCCTATGTAGGCAGTATGCAGCTAGGCAGCTCATTAGGGTTTGGAGATAATGTCTTGACATTTTTCCATCTTTGAATGTGTTTATAGTGGTCTACTCGTTTATCTTTGTCAGAAAGCTTGATTCTTGTCAGGATTAAAGGAGTGTGCTGGCATCTCAAGTGCACTTTGAAATGTTAATAATATCTAGGCAGCCATGTGAATATTTCATAGCATTTGTTTTATAGAGACATGACATAATTTCTAATTCAAGGATTTTGCTAGGTCCCTTAATTCCAGTGAAAACAAACCTTAATGCTACGGCACACGTGACATTCTAGTGTATTGTGTGCTTCTGACTTTCTTGCAATAGTTTTGGGAAGCCATTTTCTGTTCCAGCATCACACAATGCCACAGTGCAAAAAGAAAAGTCTATTAAGAAATGTTTTAGTAAGTCTAAGTCTGACAAGCTTAGACCTGTACTCCTATTGAACACCTTTGAGATGAACTGGAACACAGACTGAGAGCCAGACCCCCTGACTCATTACCTGTCCTTAGTTATGCTCTTGTGTCCGAATGAGAGAAAAACCCAGCATCCGTGTTTCAACGTCTACTTCAAAACCTTCCCAGAAGAGTGGAAACTGTTAACAAAGGCAGACCCAGCTTCCAAATAATAAGTTTATTTTATTTAATAATAATACGTTTATTTAATATAGCACCTTTCTGGAAACTCAAGGTCACTTTACAATATTATAACAAATAAACATTACAGCAGACAGAAAAAAAATACAGATAAACATGAAATACATAACATGAATCAGATCATACAGTCAGAGATCAGAGAAACAAGAAAGGAAAAGATGTTTTCCTTTTTTTAAGGTGGTTAAAAAATTCATAGAGTGCTGATCCAAGCACTTCGCCTCACCTTACCAACATGGTACAGAAGCTATCAACATTCCAATGTCTAGGTGATAGTCTCTGTAGTTTCTAAGAGTATCTTCAGAGGACTGTTAAATGATCACCCCTCATTTGTCATATTTCCAAATGTTTCACCAATTAGCACTGTAGAGGATGGATATGTAGTGTTTTAGTTCTTTTTTGAAGGAAAGTTATACTCTATATTTGGTATATTTACATTTTATTTAATAATGGACAAGCCTCCATTTAGTGGACACAAAAGCAGCTCTGAACCTCAGAAATGCAATTTTTATTGATTGTTGAGCATATCTCTGTGGAAAGGCCGCTCTCTTCTAGCTGCCATGTCTGATATTTGCCTGTACCCAGCTGTTGTGCCAAACAGGAAGGGAATAAGTGGCTGGTGGAAATGAGGCTCAGTTTATCTGCCTGTGGCAGTGACATGATAATAAAATAAGCGCTATCCACTCTGTAATAGTCCTTGTGATTCAGGGCCCTGTCATGTTCAATCAAATGAGAGAGGGACTTTATAAATGCAGAAAGTGGAATTATTCTTTCACAACAATGCACTGATAGCTGATGTCAAACAAAGTTAATAAGCCAGCGCTCTATTTTTCTCCTGCCTCTTATCATTTCTCTTCCTCTAAATGAAAGATATGTGTGCATCACGTTCCCTCATTCTACACCATATTTTCAGCGTGTGTTGGAGTGCATGTCATATGGTGCCTTTTTGTCAGTATGTATGCAAAACTGTTTCATGTCCTCCACATCTGAAAAACAAGCTAAAACAGGTTTCTTTTTATCCTTATTTTTGTTTGAAGTCAGCAAAACTTTCTAGCAGTATTTTTAACATTCCCTGCCAACGTTCTGGTGGTCTGGCAATGCATTTAATACTCTGTTGCTTTGACGCTGTTTTCAGCAAGATGTGCATCCAACTGGGTAGTTTCTTTATGTAGAAGCATGTCAAATGAGATGCACATACAACACCTTCACGTTGGTTTATACATGAATTTTTATGTCAAGTTTGCTGTTTCTTTCCACAGGATTACAATGATGAGATCAGGCAGGAGCAACTTCGTGAGCTCTCCTACTTAAATGGCTCAGATGACCCCAGCCGAGGAAGAACCGCACGAGGACGAGGCTTACGTCTGACCTCCACAGCATCCACCCGGTACAGTAGCTTCACCACATCAGCCCAATCATAGAAACCTTAAAGGAATTGTCCATTAGCACTGCATTATTCATATACTTTATTTATTACCTGGAGATGACTTAAAAAACACACATAAAACATATATTGTCGCAATCGTGTGTTTAATGTCTTCACGTTTCATCAATCCAAACGTTTCTTTTGGACTTTTTATTCCGCTTAAAGTCTGCATGAAATCCAAATTTACAATATTTATTTTGTTAGCGCACATAATCCATGCAAGTTAATCCACTGAAAACATTTTTTTTTGTTTTGGTAATGTTTAATCAAAATCTGATCATTTGCTTCAGCTCTGGAATGGCATTCCTTCTCTGCTGACGTCAGTTTGACGGCTTGGGCAGAATATTCTTAACCACACCCTCTAACCATTAGTTTGCTATGATTGAGAGATGGAGAGGAGGAGCGCAAAAATAAAACCCTGTTTCAGCTGGAAATACGTCACAATACTGAAATAATATATGCTTTTGTCCATATTAGCAAAGAGTATTTAGGGATTTCCTGGCACATCATAAGTTATTACTTTTATGAGTCCGTCTTGGACTTTCTGCGCGAGAGCGCCCTCCGGTTCAAGTATGAATGAAACATACACTGCGTGAAAGTGTTGAGGGCTCTATGATGTTCACATCGCCTCATTCTGGATACAAATAAAACATCAGGTCATGCACAGACTATCCTGTCTCTTTGAATTTAAATGTAGATTTATTCTCACTGGCCTTTGAAAACCTCTATGTGAACACACTTCACACTTCGCCCGAAAAAAGTGCAGGGGACGAATTTACCTGTTATTAAAAGTGGGTGGGGGGGAGGGGACACATCCCCCGCGTATTCTACACCTATGTCATACAACAACAATAATAATAATAATTTATTCTGTGTTTCTGGTGAAACCGAAGTCAGCCAAGTTTACACTAACTGCTTTAACTCTAACTGTTAAAGGCCCAATTTTCACTCCCAAACATCTGTGCACTGTTGGATCATGAAAGTGCCCTGAGGCTCAGTGTTACTAATCAGGTTAGCAGGTGAAGCTTTAATTGTTCGCATCAAAAGCATAACTTATATATACCGTCATACATTATTTACACTTTAATGTTAATCTTTAATGTTTATTTAATAAATTTCACACTGCACTTGTTCTGGCTTGCTTGAGCCTCTGAAGATCCCTCTAGGATTCTCCCAAAACAACTACAACTTGCATTACCGCAAGTAGTAATAATAGATTCAAAATGTGATCTTTCTGTTTACCGTTCCTGACAGATAAAGCTATAAAGCACCTTTTCCCCTTGATGTGCCTTGAGAAGTCATTACCACAAATCAGCATGGCAAAAACAACACTGATGAGGCCATTAGTCTCTGTAGGATCTTTGGATTTGGATGGACGAAATGTAGAACTAGACAGACTGAAACATCTGCCATTCACCAGTGCTGCCAACTCCATCTGCCATGCTGCAACAGTAATCAGGTTGAAAATTACTCCAGAAACAGACAGCTTCACCCCTTGATTCCACAGAATCATCCTAAAAAACAATAGCAGCACAAGGGAGTGAAACCGTAGATCAAAATAAAGCTGTCTCTCATCGGACTGAATGAAACAATGTGTTCTACAGACTGCTTTTGGATGCCATGCTTCACTGCCACTATTACAGTGTGTAACCAGAGCAGTGCTATGAAAGAAAAGAGCTGAGGCAGTGAATATTGCAACATCTTTAAAAACTCTGCTGTCTCACCTTATTGAGTCACTGGCATTATGGTTCACAGGGCTTTAATAGGCTGTCGGTGATGACACCGCAACACAGCAACCCACTATTATAGCACTGCAGCAAATGACTTAACAAAAAATGCTAATTTTTCATCTGTAAACACTGGAGTTGTGCTGCACTAATTTTGCATAGTGCTGCCACTGCATCAAGCCTTTGGAAGGTTTGGTGCTGATATCAAATTGACACTTTTACTGAAGTGCCTAAGATAATAAATACAATGTAAATTACATATGAATTATTTTATACATTAAACTAAATCTACACAGACCCAACCTATTTTGATTAAATTGATTAAATTATTGTCATTATTGGAAAGTTGGTTTATGAATATTTTTGTTGTAATTTATTTAAATATTAAATACATAAAAAATAAACTAAAATAAAATAAGCAATTAAAACTGAAAAAATAAATATAGCACAAATATATTGTGCTAAAAATCTTAAAAATATATATAAAAATATTCTATTTATATTTTCATGAAAATAAAATAAAATGACAAGTTAAAAAAATTATATATTATGTTAAATGTATTTTCTTTCAATTTATTTATGTCTTTAGAGGTCGAGGGAGGGCAGCTCCACCCCCTCCACCTGGACGAGGAGCAGCAGCACCCAGAGGAACTGTGGGTACACGCACCTCCGTCCCCACACCCACACTAGCCAGGGCAGTGTCTGCACCCAGGGCCAGAGGAACTACAGGGACCTCTGGATACAGAGCCCCAATACTGCAGGCCACGCACAAATCATATGATGACTATGTAAGTGAAGATTAAGTGTTTTTAATGACAATAATTTTTTGGAGTGTGTATGTGTTTTAGTTTTGTTTCAAGAACTACTGGTGTAAAAACACTTGCTGGTTTTTATATTTGACCAGAGTTGAGTTCAAAAACTTGTTCAAAAACTTTTCATTATTGAAAGTCTTGCTTACACACCCACACAAACAAATATACACAATCACAAAATAAAAGGCTTGACAGAAAAAGGTTTATGAATCCTTAAATCAAATTCACTGAGGTAAATGGACAAGGAATGGCCTTTCTATTTACCAAAGGTTGAATGAATCAGTGAAGACAGAACCCATTCTGACAGATTGAATGCTGTAAGATGTTAGTCTACATGCTGACATACTGTAAAGAAAAGCCATGTGGTGCAAAAAGAAAAGCATCTCCTCTCTTGATTGGAGACGATGAGCTTGACTATCATTATCAGTAATATAATTATTGATGATGGTCATGATGATGATGATTAAATAATAATGGAAGCTTTGCTCATTTGTAGGACAACACCTCCACATTGCAGACTTTTTGCATCCAGGTGTGCACAAGGTTATTTTTGAGAATTCTCAGCCAAGCGAATGTCAAACTCCAACTTAATGAAAAAAGCAATATCTCATGGATTCGTTTCCCTCTGAGCTTTTGCCTAATGCAAAAGCCCTTTATGTGCAGCTCTGTGGCCGATTGGTCTGTCTGCATGGGGAAATGTTAGAGTACATACTCATTACCAATGTGAATTGAGTTTTGCTGGAGAGCCTCTGTATTATGGGAGACATGGAAAACATGGACATATTTCTGTGAGTAATTGGATCTGCGGTAGGCAGGTGGAGGTAAGAGGACTAAGAAGTGAGCAGTTCACTATAGGAACATATTGTAACTTACCTTTCAAAATCTAACCTTGCCAATCCTAAACCTCGGGATTATTCCTAGACGTTGAGAATTCCAGAATGTGTATATATATTTGTGGAAATATATAAGTGTATATATAAGTATATATATATATGACTATGTCAGGTATATCTTTTTTATATATATATTATATATTACACACAGAGTGATCTGAATCTGAAAATTGTATCTTGTATTATTTATTCATATTTCTTTGGTAAGAATCATTTCAAAGATTCAATGTCTTTCTGAATCATATTACATTTGTGTGATTAACATAACAGCAAAGGGTTATATTACAGTAATATCAAACAATCATGTGAAGGTTTGATGCTGATATACTATAGTCAAATTAAAACTTTTACTGAAGTGCCTAAGATAATGAATTCTTATACATTATACTATGGGGCTTTTGAATTCCCTAATCTGATTGGCTGACGAACGTTCTAAGGTTTGCAATTATTTTCAGGGAAACACGGCTAAAGTAGTTCCAGGCAGGTCTTGACCGCATTACATGTTCATATCACTTTGCCAAGTGATTGGAGTTATTTCAAAGGTCCTTACAGCCCGACGACACTGACCAAGCTATTAAATATAGTAAACAATAGGATAAAAACAACAAATAATTTCCATGTTTTTGCCACAAAATAACTTTTTATTATGTGCAGAAAGCACATACTCTATTTCTCCTGCTCACTCTCCCTTACAAACGCACACATATACAGTACAGACACACACCAGCACAGAAACGTGTTGTCAGCGCTGTTCTGACGATTTTATCAGTAAAATAGTTTAGCAACTAGCAAGGTAATAACGGTGCTGTTCTTGCTGCTGACGAACACTGTTGAGAGACCCACAGACTCAGGTAATTCACACACACACTTAGTATCTCTCTCTCTCTCTCTCTCTCTTTCTAATAGGTTCATTATTAACAGCATTAGTCTGCAATCGAAGGCTCAAGTCTCCATTACTAGGTCTAAAATTACGTTTTGGAATTAGCTATGAAAGTGTGGGTTGAGATGCGTAAGAAATGAATCCTACACTCAAGAGCATTTCAATCAGCGTTTCAAGCGTCTTGAGGTGTGGTAACCATAATATAAGCAGAATAATTAACTCCTCGGGTGTGCATTATTTTCTAATAATTCAATGGCCCATCGTCAATTATTGCTTGCTTATTATACAAAATTCTTATACATTAAGCTAACCTGTTTCAAATATGAAGTGCAGTTTAAGAAATACAATAAATTATTGATACCAGTTTGTGTGTGTGTGTGTGTGTGAGTATAGCCTGTTTTTTTTTTACTATGATTAATTTGCTGTCTGCTTTTATATAAACTGTCATCCAGGTTTAAGATGTATAAAATGAAAGACACATGAATATCCACTGTTGTGTGGCAGCGTTCTGCTCTTTTTGTTGGTGAGGATTTGAATCCAGTTAATCACAGCTCTTATGTATATCAGCCGAGCCGTGCCAGACTGCCTCCTCCTCTCCCTCTCAGCACAACAGCTTTACTCAAAGATCACAAGTGCTTTCTCAGAGGGCTCTTCACTCTTCTACAAACCAGTCAGACACTCCTCTATGTGCTGACGCCCCTTTTCTTCCCACAAAATAAACAGATCTCGGAATGTGGCATAGAATAATACTAGACGGATATCTGTGCTGTAACATTTCAAAATAATATGTTCAAAGCTGCTTGTTGATTGTTAATTATCCAATTTTTCTTGTCTGTCTGCTGGTATGGATTTAGTGGTTTAGGGCAGAGCTATCTGTTTGTCTTGACCAATGGCAGACAGGGGAAAGGTGTTTGAGAACAATAATCATTTTTCCAATTCTGTTTGGTAACACTAGTAATTTACTCACCCTCTTATCCTTAAACTCACGAGACTTTCGTTCATTTTTGAATCACAAACTAAAATATTTTTAATGAAACCTGAGAAATTTACATCCCACCACTGAAAGTCCATTCCTGCCAAACTTTAACGCTTTAAACAGCGTCAGTCAAGCATGTTTGTTTTTCCATTTACTATATTTGATGTGCTCTATGTACTGTATGTGCATTTATAAATGTTTATATGTGAGGGTGAGTAACTGATGGTAGCATTTTTATTTTGGGGCGAACTAACCGTTTAACCCCCTCACAGTTTTCTTTTTTCTTGTATAATGTACTGTTTTAATGTAACTTTGAAAACTAATTAAAAAAAGCATGTAGAATGCCTTCTAAGGTCAAAACCAGCTCACTGTGGATAAATAAATGAAAAGGGTCAATCACTGTGAAAGAAGCCCTTGAGTGTCTCGGATAGTATCGCAGTAAACCTCTTACGCACACAATCACACACCACTTCACATGGCAAAAGCCGATTCATGGTGCAGAATAGAATGTTGCGAAAAGGCTTTACTCGCACTATTTCAAAGCAAGGATCTCACCACGGCTGTAATTGTTTTTTAACAATGGGCTCGCTTACACCGCTGACTTGACATTTCTGAGGTGAACTAATTATTGAAATGGAATTCTTCATGCAGAACTCCCTCGTTTAATAAAACAGATGTACGACATACACCTCGAGAAGAAGTTTAATAATTTCCTGCTGAAAAGAAGCATGTGGAATGCTTAGAGGCTCAACATATTATTTCATGTCTGAGAGCTGCCCATGAGAAGGCAGTTAAAAAACTGGGAAAAGAAGCACTTGTGCTTTTACTGTGAAAATATCAAGGGGGATGAGCTGCATGTCATTACCGGTTAAATTGTTGTTTACAGTACACGCAAATATCAGCCCTTATGCTTTCTATGAGCTACAGTATATTTACTGGTCAGTGATTACCGAATCAGAGAACACTGGCTATGGCTATCACAGCTCCTTGTCGTGCATGAAATAACGCCTATTAAAATGTATTGCAACATGATTTGCAAATGCGCAGTAGATTGCTCCGTTGCAGGAATTGCGGCTTCTGAAGGTTAGAAGTGATAGCCTACTTGTCTGTCATCAGCTTACTGAATTAGTTATTTTATTTGGGTGAATGTAAAAGTTTATGTAACAAGTAATATGTGCTCCTATATTTCTACAGTGAGATCTTTGGCAATAAACAGTCCTAGTTTATCACATTTCTGCTGCCACTTTCTTAGTACTGGCAAGCAACTGTGCTTTCAGGCAAAGCCAGTGCTTTCAGGATAATCTAAACTGTTATTTTAGTTCTATAAATATTCATGTGGTTTTCCTTGGGTTGGTGGAAGGTGCCTTAAAGATTTCCAGTGAACTGTTATCATATATGACATATCAATTTGTTGGTAAGTGGTAAGATCTTTTAATTCTTTGGGGGGAAAATAATATAAGAAATTAAAACCTGACTCCTGGCCATAGACAACAATTTGCTTGATTACATTATTTGAGATATTGTTTGCCTATACAGACTGTGTAAATTTGTCCTGAATATGTGATGATTTCTCTACATGCAGAGCAACACATTGTAATTGATACATTTGCATGAAAATGTAAAGAGAAACTTTAAAAAAAATTACTTATTTAATCAGCTCCTCAACAAATCACAATAATTGCATGCTGTTAAGTTTAACATATATTAATATAATAGTTATTTTACAAAGAATTTCCCATACCAGGATGACTAAATTCCAATTAAACTCATGATTCTAATTTATTTAATATACAGTACTACTTAATTGTTGTCATGTATTTCCTAAAGGTTGGCCAAGTGATTTCGACAAGTGAATTTTGGTACAAACACAGACACCAATGACAAGAGTTAAAATCAAAACTCCAGTTGAGTCAGTACACTGGTTTTTCCACCTTCATTCTCCTCTTTCCAAAAATCTGTGGTTAACTAAGCATAATACTTAATTCATCTAAAGCTATTAGTCACTAATCACCATGATATGAAATGCAGTTTCCCTTTAATATAAAATTGATGTGAAATGAAATTCCATTTTGATTATGTTTGAAAGAATTATGCCTCCTTTGAACGTTTGCAACAATCAGAACGGACCATTAAATAGATATATGGCCTGTTGGATGTCAGTATATTTCAGACTGCTCCATCCTGTCTGGCCTATTGCCCATGTTGGCTCATACTTCAAACTGAAAATATTAGCCCTGAAAAATTGGTTGAGAAACAAGTGGTAGACAAAGAGCCTTCATTCAATAAGCAGACGGAGCCACAGACAAAAAGCGTTTTCAACCCTTCATTTCCCTTTGCTGCTCTCCAGTGAGGAATCATATTCAGTTGCCATCCCACACAGAGATCAGTCACTGTCAAGAGGTGTTGGTGGTTGTCAATTGATAATGAAGCAGAGTATTGAAGACCTTTGGCTGTCTGCTGTATTAATTACTCTTGCAGTGCTCTCTACCACTTGATTTATTTCCTGTTAGCTTGCTCAATAGGACCAGAGTTAATTGCTCTTTCAAACGAGTGTTGAAATGTAAAGATCAAACACCATTAACTAGAGCTTGCTCGAATTATGCACAGCTGCTTGTAAGTGCATGTTAAAGTCAAAAAGGTCAGACACAAGGACCTTTTAAATAGCACTTTGTTATTAAACTAAGTAATATCCACACAGTGTTTGCAAGACCTCTGCATACTAAAGTACAAAATAGTTTTTGCAATTTCATATAGATGTTTGAATGTGTTTTCATGTGTGGCTATTGTAGTATGTCTTGCTTCTATCTTTTTGATGTATATTTTTAAGGAATAGACCTTAGTCAGAGTAGCACCATATTTAATTTCTGTCAGGAAAATGGGGCTGTCCAGTGCATTCATTGAATTGTATTGTTGTTTAACAACATACCGACATAGAAAAAAAAAACTCTGTAAAACAGTTTTGAAAGTTGTGATTTGATGAAAATTATACAGTGCGTGCCATTATAAACACTGTAAATCTATTCCTCGGAGCCTAGTTTTCATCCACACTAAATTTAATATAGCGTCTAACCTGACTAAGGTCTGTAGTTCACTCACCCTCATATCTTTTCAAACTTAATTTTTCTAATTTTCTTTCCGAATCAATTCACTGAAAAGATCATAGTCATACAGGTAGCAAATGACATGAGGGTGAGTAAATAATGTCATAAATGTCATAGCAGACAAAAAGGACACATCTTCATTTTTGTGAGTGTAAAAATGAAAGCTACTCCTTCCGCTCTTGATGGAATGACCCTATTAAATGGGTAGGTCAGTCACTCACTGTTCTGCTCAAATTTATTTCCTTAGAGCGCTGTTGGTATTAGAGTGATTGACATGTTCTGAAATATGCCATTAAATAGTAAAACATGCTGCCTCTTCTATACGCTGCTGCTTAAGATATGCATAGCACTCTATCAAGAGGACATGTTAACAAACCGGTCAATTAGTGGGAGAGGACAGAACCCTGACCCTATTAGCACAAGGAAAAACTAATAGAAAGTAAACTTGCGTGTTAGATCTCCTGAACAACTTAATCCCTGGCATAATCCGTAACTTTAATTTAGTCTAATCCTTCTTCATACTCATAAAACTGGACTGTTGTGCAGAATTTTAATGTAAAGGGAATAGACAGGGTCAAAATAGCTGACAGATTAGGCCTAATAAAAAAGGGAAGCATTTTCAGTTAGCCTGTCTGAACAACAAAATGGAAACCATAGATGTTATGCTGTTATGAGAATTATTTAGAGTTTACCCAATAGTTAGTTGTTTTAATCAATGCATTATAGCGTCATCACCACAATATTGTGTATTTAGCACAGGATTTTGTTTGAGATGAATTTTCACTTTATGATGGTGTATATCTTCTACAGACCAAAAAGTCTGAATGTTCGGGTGTATCTCACAGACACACACATTTTAATAGTCATACAAAAGTGCTCCATTTTGTTTATGCAAAATAGAATGTCTTATTTTTGAAATATGAAGCTTCTGTGTGATTCACCTCTGTGTTCTTTTTACGTTTATTATTTGATGTCCCTTTTAGATGCTTTTTACCAAAAGATTCTTATGTGCTGCACATTCAGTATGTAGAATAGAATAATTCATTTCAATATCAATGTAAGCTTAAAAAAAAAAAGAGTAAGAAAAAGTGAATGGATGACACGAATCATGTACAGTAGGATCTCCTGAACATCTCATCATGAAGTTTTAATCTGTTTATTGTTTCTTTTGTCTGTAATACTGGATCGACCTAGGCATTATCCACTTGTCTTCAGACATGGCAGATCAGACAATTGTCACTCATTGATCAATATTTTCTGTTGGACATGATTCAGCTGTGCCAGTCCTCCACTCTGGGAGTATATTTATTAGAGAAATCCCATTGCAGTGTAATTAAACATTGATTTTTCAACCCTAAACAATTAGAGTGCTGCTTTGAGACAGATTCAGTCCTTTAGTGTCACCCTCTGTGATTATTCTTTTGTGTTTCTATGATTTCAGGGATATGATGATGGTTATGACGGGGAATATGATGACCAGAGTTATGAGGGCTATGATGACAACTACAGCAACAAGTCGAAAAGGTACACATTTATTTTCAGAAGACATTTTGTCACAACATGATCTAATTGATGCTTAACTTTGGCTCTAAGAATCTGTCAAAATGTCTCCTAAGAATTAGTTTTACTCCTACAGTGTCTCAGAATATTATGAATATGGACACGGTAATAATGATGAAGCCTACAACAATTATGGTAAGAATCTGATCTACAGTTCTTCTAAAACAGCATGACTTTCATCTCAAACTTTTTTTTCTTTTAGCTTACTAGGAAACTATTAGGATTTTAGGTCAACCATTTTGAATGGTGCACCGCAAAGAGAAACATCCTCTTTGCATAGCAGTAGTTCGCATAGCAGGCGGGCTGAAACTCAGTCATGGCACATTGCCCACACCAGTGAGAAACCTTTTTGCCTCATTCATTTTCCATATTGCTGTTAAATGTTTCAGAGCTTAAAGTAAGGAAAAACACCGAGCAGCATTTGCCAGTTGTTAAATCACCGAGGCCCAGGGCACAGCAGCTGCCATCCTACCTTACTAGTCTGCTTCAGGGCTTGGGTTTTAAGATGCACTTGAAATCATGGACTAGAGCCAGTAAAGAGCTGGAGGCATTGCTGAGGCCCACCAAGAGAGTCAGAATGGCCTTTCAGCCATTACTTTGCCTTTTGAATATGTGCCCTCTCTGGATTACATTTGATGCAGTATTCCCTCTGTTCTTGGCATGGATTGTTGTTTTCCACTGATACCAGTTTCCCATTGTATACATACCTGCTCATCTGCATTGTGGCAAATTGTGCAGTGGAGTGTCAAAGTGTTAACAGGAATGATTTGATATTTTGCCACTTTTTGACTTGAAACCAAGATTTCATTGTGTTATGAAAGCTTTTGCTCATTAGGCAGTCAGGATCATATGGAAGTCCATTTCTACCTCAGAGTAAAAAAAAAAAAAGGTAATTGCAAATCTGTATCTCACAATAGTGACTTTGTGTCATATTTGTCAGTTCCTATTGCACACTGTGTCTTTAAGTCTCACAGTTGCAGCTTTGTTTCTCACAGTTGTTTGGTTTAAAAGACAATTAATATTCAGTAATATTATTGATTTAACTACACTGTTATTGCACTACACTATCGGATAAGAATTTGAACTGAATTGAGCTGGATAATGACACTATGTTTGCAACATTGACACTTGTATTAAACTGAACTGAAACAACATTGAACTAAACAGAGCTGAATAATGACACTATTATCTTCTAGGTTCATAAGTGATGAACTTCAACACTGTTATTTTCTTGCTGCTTTGAGACAGTTGTATGAAGCGCTATATGAATAAATGTGACTTGCCTTTGTTTCTTATAATTGCAACTTTATTTCTCACAGTGTGACTTTATATCCTGCAATGTGACTATTTCTAACAATGTGACTTTATTTCTCATAATATGACTTTATTGTGCCGTTAAATCTTGAAATTGTGACTTCATATCTCAAAATGTAACTATTTCTCACAATGTGACTTTACCTCACAATTTTGGCTTTATTTCTCGCAATTGTGACTTTTTGTTGCAATGTGACTTCACACAATTGCGACTAAATTTGTTGTAAATTTGTATAAAATCTCAGACTTTTTACAGTATATCAAAATGTGCCTTTTTTCCCACAGTGTGACTATATCTTGCAATTATGACTTTATATCTCACAATGTGACTTTTTTCTTGCTTTATATATTAATTCTTTTTTGCTGTTTGACAATTTGATCTCACAATTGTGAATTTATTTATGTGACTATATATCTCACAATGTGACTTTATTTCTTTTTTAACGTGTCTCAGAATTACCTGTTGTATTTTTACTCAGAGGTGGAGACAGGCTTCCATAAGATTGTAATGATCAGAGATAGTTTTTCAGTGAGGAGGATGTAAGGGGAAAACCTATTAAATATAATGTGAGTGAGGGAGGGCTGTTTGTGCGGTAGTGATCATTACACAGAATATCAGAATAAAAGGGATTTTGTCATGATGTATAATGTTTTTTCCTCCTTTCTCTGTGAAACGGTAGTTAGCAACAATGAAGGTTAAGGCTCTTTGCCCTGAAGGCAGGCTGATTGTTTCCTCAATGGCCCAGCGATCACACTCAGAGAACCTAATGGAGCATCGGCTCCCAACACATACTGTATTTAAATGACAGCAGGGTCATACTGTGAGCTCAGCCAGGAGTTCATGCCTCATCTGCTCTGCCTTTGGTAACTGATAATTAGGGCAAAGTGACATTGTATATTTCTCAAATCTACGATAATGTACTGAGGCGAACATGCAAAGCCCTAGATGGGATGCGGGAATGGAGCTCTAAACTAATTATTGAAATGTATGTGTAAGATGATCAGCTGGTGCTCAGTTTATCATTTTGTAATGCTTAAAACAAAAAAAGAATTAAAAACGGCTAATGTCACATGGAATTACTTGGCCGTAGGATATCCGTTCACTGATGAATCGTCATAGCATTGCATTTCAGCCACTTAAAGAGGCTCCTCTCCTTTGTAACATCTACATTTACTTGTGTTAAATTCCATTTTTTCTCTCAGTTATTTTAAATGAAGCTTGTTTTACCTGTTTAAATTAGTTCTGCCTTTTTTCCTGTTTAATCGTTTCACTTTTAGCAGAAGAAGACTGGATATCATCGCGGCCCAACCTCAAAGCTCCAGCATCAAGACTTACTCGAGGGGGCTACAGAGATCACCCCTATGGTAGATATTAAAGGTGCTCCAGATCATGTGACCTCCATACAACGCCAACCTTATTAGCTAAATAATATAAAATGGGGTTTTTAAGTGATAGGCCAATCTTGTTTTTAAATTCACACTAACCTTGGGGGGCGGGGTGAAGCTACGTGGTCCCTTCTTTTCTTATCTGAAACGGTTGACTTCTTTGTTTGATACTTTATGAGCTTTATTCTGGCCAGGATTGGGCAGTGTACTTTTGTCATTCCTTTAGTTTTCCATTGTTTGTCCCCCAAATGTAAAGCATAGAATTAGCTACACATTATGCTTCCCTGACTTTGGGAACCTTTGCGTTAAGACAAAAATGTATTGCCAGAGTGGAGAGACTCAATTTGTACATAACATCTTCCTAATACTTCTTGATTTGATGATGGTAAATACTGAGTTTGTATATTTAATTTTGATATCAGTATTGGGTTTGAAAGCAATTGGCTATGTATGTAGCCACATCCAAGTGCTTTGCTTTGTGTGTAGCTTGTATTTGTACATACAAATGTAATAAAAAGGATGTAAAGCGCCTCGTGCAAGCTTCTCTAAATAGGTGATTATAATTGTTAAACTTGTGTTGCTATAATTTGTTAATAAAGATGAGATCATTTTTGTAAAATTAGATTAGGTACGTACTTGTCTCTAGTACTAAATGCCTGTTTGACCTGAGGAAATGGATATGTTTATATATATATAACAAAGAAAATCCACAAAAAGGAACCGTAGAGACGTTGTCAAGTCATTTTGTGTAATAATAGATAAGCTACATTTAATAGAATTAAACTTTGTTAAATAATTTTTAACATTAGCTCGAAATTGTTCATTGACTCTTGATTAGTCATTTAAATGTTTAACATGTTAATGGAAATCAACTGTTTAGATCAATAAATTGATTTTTTTTTAACACACTCTTTAAGCTTCAGCTTATTAAACAATAAGTCGGACTGACTTGTCTGCGCTAACGTGACTCTGAGAATGATATGGAGATTCAGGAGGTAAGAACGTCCCCATATTCCAATAAGATGTTCTAAGTGCCTTCAGCCTTTGGTGTTAACCACTGTAGCCAATGTGAATATGTCTGATATTCACACTGTTTCATCACTCGCAGGAGTGAATGGGATCCAGTTAAAATGCTTTATCTCTGCTACTTACAGTATATTTTCCTCTTTTGCTATTTATGTTAATGAACATCAGAAGGCTGCATTTGTGTTGTAATACCAATGCTTTTAAATATCAGCACTATTGAAGGCCCCATAGAGACCTGAACTCTTTTTTGTGACTATTAGAACGGAATGCTGACGCGTATTAAGACTTCGAAAGGATGACTAAACGTTAAGCAGGTAACCCTAATAATAACTCTAATGTTGCGAATGCCAGTCATAAATTAAGTTATTTATACTTCAAAAAGTAAACCTGCCCTCACTAACTCCAAATAAATGCCTCGGCCCTCTAAATCCGCTAATAAAGTTAACTAGTGACATGAAAAAGGACTTACTAACACATAAAACAACACCATTAACAATCCATCTTTTAAAAAAAGCTAAAACTGACATTAATACCTGACCAGCTAAACTAAGCTTTTTAACCAGACACGCTGAAAAAGATGGTTGCTCTCAAATCATATTCTGCTCTGACAGCTTTTGTCCTGCCCCACAAATTGGTTTACTTTTTTGATAGTAACATATGCTTTGTCAAACTGTTTTCAATCCATCTGTTATTCGTGCATGCGAGTGTACGTTTGTTTTGACTTGTAGTCTCACTCATTGTCTCTTCTTCATTTTGTGTATTATACTTATAGCACCTCAAAATCTATATCCTAAATTTGATTTATCCTTCCAACAGGTACCAGTCTCTCTGTGAGCTGAGATGCAGTGGATTGAATCAGACTGGGTAAGCTCCAAAAGTGTCTCTAAACAAAACAAATTGCATTCAAATACAGTTTAGGTGTATATTTGTTTTTTGCTGGAGTTTATTATGACTTCTTACCTGATTTTTATTATTATGGAAGACCATACATCCATCCATTTTCACCCAATATAGGCAGGGAAACCTATATCCTATATAAAACCTATACCTATAACCTATATAAAAAAATATGGACTATGGAAGTCATTTAGCATAAATCTGTCATGCTACATCAGAAACACCAAGTATACACCTATATGTATCACAGAGCTGTCTTAGAGCAAGACAAAACAATAAAACAAACAATTTTTGTTTCAGAGTGAGGAGCATGTACTAATGTTTTGTTGTGACAGTACAATTAATAAACCATTTAGCAAGTAAAACAAACATCCTATTGGGATATAGCTTGAAGACAGAAAACCACCCAGTATGATATAGACTTGTGACACTACGCACAGATTAATTGCACACACCACTAAAATATTAAGGAGTGATTGTTTGACCTCGAGTGAAATGTGGCCTTCAGGAACAATGCTTTGAATATTTGGGTAATTAACATTTTTTTTTGTATTAAATATGCTGCAGGAGATCCCCGCATGTGAAGCATAACAGCAACAAGAGACAAAAACACTCTATTCTTTGGGACTCATTTTGTTTGGTTTATTTTTTTCTTTTGCTAAGGCAATTAGGTGCATCGGAAACAAACAAAAATGGAAAAATCCATTAATGCAACCTTTTCAATATCGATTTAAGCTTTTTTTAAAGCTTGGGTCTTCCAAAATGCATATATTAGTCATTCTATTAATTTTGACCAGCGTCGCATTATTTTGGTTCTCTTGATGGATGGAAGTCTTCTGTAGAGGTCAGCCATGTTTTATAGTCTAATTAAGGACAAGACAGGGGCATGCTCAAACAGATGCGTTTTTTCACACAGAGAACCATTTGTAAGCCAACAAAGGATGATTAAATCACTGACGCCTATCAGATGGCTTATTTGAGAATGGAAAGGTAATGGGAATGGAAACGATGGCAAAAATGTTTTAGCTGCATTAACACTGCTGTGGTTTTTGTTAATGGTCTGCATGAAATAAATCTTTAACCCTTATATTAAATTTGTGTAGAATATGTAATTAAATGAAAAGAAAAAGAGATTATTCATTATTTAAATAATATGATATTATGATTTGTGGGCTGGTATGACTCTGAATGGCTTTAATTCAGGCTTGCTAATTAAAATAGGCATTGTCTTCTAATCAGTGGCACACAGGTGGCGATTTAGCTATTTCACAGTATTGCCTTCGGCATGAACATGCAGTCAGCAGAGGATTTTGAAGCTTGGATGTATATCTCATTTGTCTTTATACACTGCTCCACAGTGAAAGAGAGTGCATGAGGTCTGATATTTTGACTGCAAATGTGAAGGTGGTTAATATGAAAAAAATATCAGTTTATGACTGATCTCACATGTGCTGTGAATTAATGAGACTCATTAGTAACAAGCAACCGGACATTTTAGGCTGTTAAATCTGGTCTTCTGTGATTCATAATGCATTTTCTTTCTGCGGTGAGGAAGAATACATTTATGATGACAATAACAGATTAATGCATGATGCTTTCTGTTGGGTGTCTGTACTTCACACGCAAGACATTCAGTTTGCTGTCAAATACTAGTGGAGTTTCCATCACTGTTGAAAATCACTGTTGTTTTCTATGACAAGTTGGTCATCACATAGAGAGCAAGATACGGAGATGGAGAGTCATTTGAAAGGGCTTTAAAATCGTTATCACATTTCTTTCACATAGTAGGAATTGTGTGTAAAAAAAAATCACAGTCGTGGCTCAAAGAGCAACTTTTAATATAGCCATGATATTAGGATACTTTCACAACAATACAAAAGCACAATAACAAAAATGTTTTTGGTACATAAAATACCTTCCTCAGCTATTGACAATTTTGCTTAGATATATATTTTCAAGATTAGCTGCATTTTATTAATGTCTAGAACTTGTCTATAGAGTAATATCAGCACTTCAGAACTAAAAAATAAAGAGGACAAATATAAAGAATATCAACATTACCTACATTTTAAATCAAACATATAAATATGCAGATTTAACCAGCTCAAACACAAGAATGAATGTTAAAATGATTTTGTTAGGCAGCATGGTGCTTGAAGATGTTACATGCTGGTCCCGTAATTCAGTTCCTTTGGGTTTAACACAGCAGGAGAGCAGACAAACAAATGTTAAGGACACAAAGCTCTTAACTGTACAAAAAGAGAAATTTCTTAGCGGTGTTCAGACCTTTGAAATGTGGGATGATGAGTCTGTTGGTCTTTTCATCTTTTGAAATGTGGTATTATTTTAATTTATACCCCTGTGATTTTGATATCCTACAATTTAGTGCCTCAGTTAAAGCCATTATACGGGAATTAAACTGACTTTTATGACTTGGGCTTGAAAGAGTGCATGAGCCTCGCCTATAGCCTCTTCAGAGGATCCTTCTTGAATGAACGTGGATAATGGAAAGAGACCAGTTAATCCAGCCTCCATTACTTTTCCAAAACCAATAGTCAACGCAGACGATGTAGAGATTTGAAAATAAATCCACTAAATTCTTTTAAATGAAGCTTGTAGCTTTTATTTAAGCCTGAGAATGTAATGTGAGATGTAATCATTTCCTACTTCAAGCCATGACAGTCAGCATGGAGGAGAGTGAAAGAAGATACAGCTTTTTCTTCAGTAGATCATGAATCATAAACGGCGTATAAAAATCTTTAACTAACAAAACAGCCGAAACAACTGAACGTCAGGCTATTCATTCTTCAACAAATACCAGTATGTCAGACTATGGTCATATTCATGGTCATATTCATGTCATCTATCTTCAGGCAAGATTTTAGACGCTGAGGAGGGTATGTCTGTATCATCAGCAGCTTCCCCAGCACCAGGTCCACCCACATATCCAGCTCTATCTCTGCCTTGTATGCTGCCAAGAGTAGGATATCCCTTCCCAGCCTCCCCTTAAACATTTCGTTTGTTTAACCTGAGTAACATCTCTTCCCTACCGTTGCAGGCACTTTGCAGTCGATATGTGGAGCATACTGATAAAACCAATCAGTGAGAAGTGAGGGGGAAATGCTTATAAACAGTGTGTGCAGATGCTGTATGCCAGGTAAGTAGTGTGCTTTAAGAAACCGTAACCGCACAATTTAAACATCCAATTACAGAAACCACACTTCCTTGAGAGGATAGATGCAATTTCGTGTTACATATATAGAGTATCGTTTATACCTGCCTCTTACAAGTGTACAGAAAGCTTAGTGAAAAATTGCCTTTACTTAAAATAGCTAACAGTATATAAAGTTATACAACAGTTAAATGCCGTTCACAGTAAAGATGATAACTATAATGATAATTAGAACTATAAAGTTTTAATAATTGTTCTAATTCTGTGAGAATAGCCTAGTTCACGTCACAGCTATTAGGAGGAACGATATTGGTGGAACTTTAATTTTTGGGTTACCTTCGCGAAGCCTTGAAATATAAGATTATTATTATTATTATATTTACTCAATATTAACATCTTGTTTTTTGGACTGTTGAAAAATATTACACTTGCAATCATTCTTTCGGTCTGAATTTCAGCACGACCCACTGCCGTATCACAGCTGTGCTTCGAAACCACAGCACTCTTAATAGTGCGATAATCAAATATTAAATTCAGCATGCGAGACGCAATGTAATTATCCTTTAGTTTTTAATGAATCTCAATTAGCAGTAGTCCCACTCTTCTCATTATAGAGAACATTTAATAAACACTCCATATGCTTTAGGAAGACATGCATTTGTGACTTATTCTGTCTCCTCTAGTGAAAATCACACTCGTGTAGTCCCTCCTGAGCACATCACCTGGAAAATGCAGCCATGTTTGCATAGCGTCTGTTTACTTTTGGTGTTTGACTGATTAGTAATATGGGGGTATAATAGATTCCAGCATTATTCGTGCTGTTTTCGCACCGAGCCATTCTCATGCTGAGCTTATAACTGTGTGAGCCAGGGGCCACATTCCCAGAGTGCCTAGCACCTGTTTGTCAATTCAGAATACAGCGGGCCTTGCTGTTTTCACCTGTTTTCTTGTAATCAGTTTACCACTCACCCATCTCTTCATCTGCTTAATTCTTCGCAAATTACAGCTGTTTTAAGAAGTTAATTGTTCTGCTGTGATTCAAGGACATTTGAAAACAAGACAATAAGTGATTAATTTAAAACTTTGAGTGAAATCTTTGCGGAAATGGCGATTGAAACAAGGAGATCAATAATAAGTGGAGAAATCCTTATTATTGTATGTATACTGTATGTTGCTTATGTCAGAATATGCAACTAATTTTAAATTGGCCATCAATGGAGAAATAATTTTTTTAGACTCCATTATACACTCATAATATTAATACTAGGTAGTTACGGCATTCCTAACATGTTAACCAGCCAAACCTTGACAAACCTTGATTAAATGCTCCACTGCTCATAATGCATAGTACTGTTTGTATTTATAATTGTATTTCACATATTCACATTATGATTCACAACAAATTTGATTTAGTCTCAATCTTGCCTTTTTTTTTTTGGCTATGCACCAAAAGCAGTGAAGATTATGTTATGATTGAAGAGTCAATTAATGCAGTCAGACTAAAAATTCAGAGGTTTGACAGTGATACAATGAAACCCTCTGCTTGCAGGAGTGCACTTGCACTCTCTTATTCTCTGCCATTATGGTAACACTATACACACTTGGCAAGTCGACTGAGGGATTTGTTCTGGAAACCAAAGATAATTGCAGGGATTTAGACAACAGCATCCAACTGACAGATGCTTGTCAATGTAACTGCGCTTTCTCGAGGTCACTGCCAACATTGCTTGAGATGTGTTTCAGCCCAGTTTATGAGCTGTCTTACTTGTGTGTGATAATGTTCTTGTATTGGCAGATGTTGGTGGAAACTCAGAATTAATGGTGTGAAGAATCCACAAAATGTTTTCTCTCTCTCTCTCTTCTTTCCCCACCAGTGTTGAGAACTCATTTCCATGGATCTGAACAGAGCTGATCTTGACAGAACATCACTGCAGGGCACAGATGACCACTGCGTATCCATCTTGTGTAAGTCACTGTAAAGTCACACTTGGTTTGTGACAGATGGGAAAGGACGGCATGAGAAAGCTTTTAGATACTGCAGTAAAATAAAATAAAAAACACCGGTTGATCACATCAGAAATAAAAATGAAATAAATGGTGCTTACCGGCTGGTATGTATTGACGTAGAATATAGAGCTGATCTAGTCCTGTAATATAAGCCTATTTTTCCCAGTTGAAAAGATACATTTATGAGAATTTGTCTTTTTGAGTGACACTAAGTTGAGAATGTTTTTATTGTCTTTTTCAGCTAAATGAAATCTGAACAGTCATATGAGATGGACCTCACCCTGGATTGGCTTATTCAGATCACATAGAAGGTCCAAGCAGATACATTTCTTAAGCTGTATCACATCCCGTTTGAATTCTTCAGAGACCCATAAATTCAATATTGCATTATGGTGGTCAGAAGGCATGCCACATATTGTGGTATAATATGAGGCTATGTTGATCTTAACATTGTTTTCAGGTTTAAATCCTTTCTTATGCATAATGCTATGCTGTAAAGTCTTGCATTTTTTGGTAATATATCCTCTTTTCACTTAATCTTTTTATCCCACAGGACAAAAAAAAGGACATAATTGGATTAAATGGCTGTTGAAGATGGAGTATATTTTGTCTAAGTATGTCATCTCCGCTATGTCACCTCATTGACAGCTAAATGGGAGGGTTTAACATGGTGCATGAAATCTTGATAGATCTACAACCACTTGCAACTGAATACTTATGTCTTTATGCAACAAACAGTTTTGCTTGTATTTTTGGTGTTATAAAAGCAGCTTGTTTCTGTGCTTTCTGCCACTGTGACATCTGTGAGCTTATGACTCAGTTTGCTCTGCGTATGTCATTACTAGCAGTGTTGAAATACAGCACAAATTACTCATCAGAACCTGTGCTTTCAAAGCCTGAGGCTTCAAAATTTATTTACCAGTAAGACAATACGTACAGTAAGTGAATTTCACACAAATGCACATCATAATGGAAATGTGATGCATGTAATCAAAATCCAGTGCATAAATCTTTAATGGAAAACACACTCTCTTTAATGCTTTTGAGATCCTCAGCTGAATGTGTTTTTGAGCTTTTTCTCCTTGCAGTGAAAATTTCAAAACATCCAATCATGTTTTTTTTAAATGCCCTTGAGGTTATCAACACAGCTCAGACCGAATTTTAAAATTCAATTTCCTTATGACTGTACAAATGAAACGGCATCTTTCTGGAGGATTTGGAAAGCTTGTAGGATTCAGCGCATATACCTGAAAACAGTCACTAGATTGTACAGAATGGTCTATAGATTTGTCAAATAAGAGTTTGCACATAATCTCCACTGAAACAGTAAAGCTATAATTTCAGCATTTTTAAAATAGTCATAAACAAATATTTTTAATAAATCTTTCTATATCTGAAACCGGTGTAATGCCAGTTTCACTCAGCAGTTGTCAGCAAATCTTTCGGTCATCATCTCTCTGTGCCAATATAGAGAATAAAGGAAATGCTTTTATTTAGTTATTTTGCTTGCTTAGAAGACCAGGTACTGAGACTCAATAGTGGGACTGAACTCACCCACAATACATTCTCTCATGTATTGTAATGCAGTAACAATGAATAAAAAAGTGAATTCTCTCATGTATTGTAATGCTTAGAAGTAACAGATCATGACCAGCAACAAGGTTTTATACTTCACAGTACATAATAAAGCTTTTAAACACACCAATGCATGATGTCTTATGTAGTCTTTATTTCATTTCTAGATATGTGGGCATTGCGCTGGGATCTTTTAAGACTTGAGTAACTTTTCCCATCATGCAGTGCTCTGTTTCAACACTAATCAAACACACCTGAACCCCATCAGGGTCTACAGGTTCACACGGAAATCTCTGGCAGGTATGCTAGAACAAGACGTAAACTGCACAAACCCAAGGCCCTGTTTCAATATTTTCAATACTTTCACTTCTGGATCAGAATTGTGCCCAAAGGTGTAGACAAATAACAGTAGTTTAAAATATACCCCTCATCCAAAGTTTAATATTAATAGTTTGGAAAATGTATGCTGGTTTTCTCTGTATGCGTTCTTCGTGTGACAGTTTTTTCTATAGCATTTCTAATCAGGCTTATAAATGGAGGTTTTTTGGTCGTTGGCTTCTGACCCTCTTTTCGATAGTTACAAGTGGAGTGCACTTCAGAATAGTGACGTTATCATGCAAAGCTATTGAAGAATACTATAGTAGACAATAATTTGTTATAGCAATTATTTATTACAGTAAAATGGGGAAACTACTGGACAAAAAATAACAATACTAGAATGATTTATTCTGTGAAAATATTGAATACTTGAACAATTAAACTCAGGAATCTGATGTTGGATATCTTAAACATTGCATCATTTCATATAATGTATCTTCTATTAGTTAAGAACAAATTTTACAGGAACTCCAGGACAAGAGTGTGTATGAAGTGTAAGCCTGTCCGACAGGACTAGCTTTCTCACACAAATGCATGCAAACACTGTGAGCTTGAGTGTACCATCATTAAAGTGTGCAGCAGACCCTGGTGTGAATTTCTCTGACGTTAATAAATGGTGTGCAGTGCAGTGCCAAGCACAAGCATGTCCCTTCATTAGGCAGCTTAGGCCCACCGCCGACATAAGGGCCAGATGTCACAGGGGTTCTTTCCTGCACAAATCTGTCCCCAGCAGCAGAGATGAGGACAAAATACACTGCCCCTGTCTTACGCCACATCTGAGGGCCGTCTCTGTGACAGTGAATAAGCATGTCTGATGTCTGGCATCTGGCAAGTTGGAGCTAACAAATGGAAAAGGCTGCAGTGGAGCTTTGAGAGGTGCTCTGTCAACTGCAATGTTCAGGGATTTTCATCATGTCTGTATTATTACCGCAAGGAGGGAAATCTGTGTCTGAATGTCTAGTTATATTGCAGTGCGTTTTCACTGTTAAAATGGCTCAGCACTATATGCACTGCGGCCACCATTCATGAGTTTTCCACTGTATAATATCAGCCCTATCACTACGTATAAAATATTTCACTTCTCTTTTAAGTGAATAATGTCTCATAAAAATAAAATAAAAATTCCAAGACAATATATTACAATGCAAAGCTCCTTGCCTAATCTAGATCAATTATGAAACTAACCACAAAAAGGGAGTTTTAAAGGGGTCATATGATGCTATTTTAAAGATCATTATTTTGTGTATTTGGTGTAACAGAATATGTTGACATGCTTTAATGTTCAAAAAACACATTATTGTTAAAATACTGTACATTATTGTAGGTCCTCTATGCCCCGCCTCTCTCAAATACGTTGTTTTCAACAAAGCCCCCTCCTTTGACAAGCACAGTCTGCTCTGATTGGCCAGTTGACCCAGTGCATTGTGAT